TTGGGCATACACCGTGTACGCAGGTCGTACATGATAAATCCTTAAACACTATTTATTAGGGTTCGGTCCATATATAATCATCATTTACTTCTCATCTCTTATTCCCTCATCAGCCTCCACCTGAGAAAACGTCCCTCTAGATAACCCTAAGTGGGAATAATGCATATTGAGCTCCTCTTTATATTTTGGTAGTATTCTTGAAGAAAAAGAAGGTGTTGGGAAAACTTTGAAGCTTGGATGCAACTTGGATATGGGATTCTCTCCTTGATAGCAACCTCCAGGAGGTAAGAAGCTCATATCTTGATCATCTTATATTATATATCTAGCTATTTCTTCGTTTAGGGCATTTTTGGTCCCAACTACGATGATTCTTGAGAATGGCGTGCTCTTAGTCGAATAATTCGTCCTTTCAGACCGAATGAGGGGTCTCGAGTGATAAAAATGTGGTATGTATGCTTAGTTTTCCCCATGCATGCTCTAGAAGGTCTTAAGGTGTTAATAAGTTGGGATTTTGTGCATCAAGAACTTAATGGGCATGTAAAGTCATAAAATTGGAAACTTTATGACTCTTAGTGGTATTTTGGCCTTAGATCTAAAATTAGGACATGAGCGCGTAATGCATTAAGATCTTATTGAGGAAAAGGGGATCCTATGCGTTCGTCGTGCATAACCTAGCATATGATACACGTACGGGGTTAAACGCCTGACTCCAATCAAAGCATGAATACATTCCGGGTACTCAGTTGAGTCAACCGAGTTGACTCATTGACCTTGACCTTTGATCAAAACTCCTTTGATCAAAACTTTTATTAAATTGATTTACGGGTATTTTAGGTATTTTGAGATAATTAATTAAGATTAGGTCCTTGGTGTTGGTTAGGTGATCGTTGAGCCGATTTTCGGGACCGAGATATATTCAGCTTGCATTCAAATTGTGAGGTGAGTTTTCCTCATTGTACCCATGGGTTGAAGGAACCAATGCCAGCCTAATAGATTATTTATCATGACCAGGATGGTGATATGATAGTTATAACTATTTAGCATATCCGTATGATTATCTGTATTTGTTGGCTCTGTGTTTATGTTTCTTTATTGCATATGTCGACATGTAGTGTTAGGTTGAGGCGGACCTACTTTGTGTTGTAGACCAAGACACCCGGGGACGACCGAATAGGCTATAGGCCCTGCGAGGAGGTCCAGTCAAGCCACTGGCCCGTGGAGCGGTCCAGATAAACTGTAGGCCCTATGAGGCGGACCAGTTATGCCGAAGGCTCGTAGAGATGTCCAGATATGCTTCAGGCCGAACTTTGTTCACAAACGACCTGTAAAATGTTTATTCCACAACTGTAAGCATAAATTTTAGTGAGTTCCCCAGTATACCACACATTCTTTCATACAAACAATGCATCCACACAAGAGTTTGGATTTAGCATCGAACAACCAAATCTCTTATCCATATAAACGTGTGTAACAAACATACAAGAAATAACGTGTCTTCTGTCGGGGGCCAGACCCTGGTCTTCCATACAACTGCCAGGAGTCAGATCTTGATCTTTCATACATCCAGGGGCCATATCTTAATGTAACATCCCCATCGAACACATCGATCTGTGCCTTGGCTTTGATACCATCTGTAACATCCCCTTTTGGAACATATCACATTATTGTCCGCTTTGGGCTCCCGACAAGAAAACTTCCTAAGGGGTCCTCATCCATGAATTGCTCTCGCCTGGGCACGCTTAACTACAAAGTTCTTATGGGATCTGCTGCCCTCACATATTTAAAACGCGTTGTGACATAGAAAATATCCACACCCCTTATAAGGAAATGTTTCGTTCTCCTTCCAAGCCGATATATATATATATATATATATATATATATATATATATATATATATATATCAGGTACAACCCACCTGCACCCGCCGTTATTGGTTTTGACGTTGCGAGGTGAGTTTTCCTCGCTATACTTTTGGGTGCAATCATATCAACACTAATGCACCGGATCCCATCAGAACTCCGCAGTTAAGCATGCTTGGGCGAGAGTAGTACCAGGATGGGTGACCCCGTGGGAAGTCCTCGTGCCGAGTGGCCCAAAGCGGACACTGTTGTGATATGTGCCAGAGGGGGATGTTACACCTGGTCTTTCGTATAATTGTAATGGGCCATATCCTTGTCTTCCATATATTTGCCAGATGTCTGATATGGGTCTTCTATATAATTTCCAGGTGAAACATCTTTGTCTTCCATATAATACATAAAGTCATATGTAGTTAGGGATTAGATAGACAATTGAACAAATGACCCACCCGAGAACGAACAATTAGACAAGAACATCACAATCAAGCATCAGACTAAGAGTTCTCAGGCTATCCAACTTAAATGTAGAACCCAAGTTATAATTACCACTTAACCATGTAACATAATCACTTGACAGATACTAGCATATCCATACCCTTGGCAACTAGCCTTCACTGGTTACCCTGCTATTGACCACTTCTCAATTAAGTCCTTCGCTGATCAGTCATACGTAACCCTAATAAACGGCCTACCCCGATTACCCTAACCATTCATAATTTATAACAATACCATACGATCAACAGGCAAGACCCAAGTGTCCTAAATAGCACAATATACAAATGAGTTGTCATATTCACTAGCATACTTATACTATAACAATACCTCTATCATACCATGCAAAGGATATACAATGGGATACGTGGAATAGTGAGAAAAACACCTGAATCGTAAAAAATGGAGAATCACAAAAGCACTCTAACTCCTTGCATTGATCAATCCTGCGAACCGGCTAATCACCAAAAGAGATGAATCCTCAATCAACAACCCAAAACCTCCAAGTTTGACCCCAAGTCAAACCGGTCAAAAGCCAATGGTTAAAAGTCCACAAAGTTCAATGGTTAACTTAGCCAATCTCAATGCCACGTCGTAACAATCCATGTGCCACATCGTGAGAGACCAAGGACAAACCATTCACGAGCACCACCACGTCAAGGCAAACCCTAAGCCACATCGTGGCTTCTGACAGAATGCCAAAATCTCCATCAAGTGCTTAATTCTTTCATATCAAGACCCAAAACTTCAGATCTAGTTATTTTTACTTACTTAATGGATAAAGTTTCCTACTTTATCCATTAAGACTCCATCCCAAAGCTAGATCTACAACCCTAAGTCCTTACTAACATGAAACCTTCCTAACACATACATGACTCCAAGAACAAGATTAAGATGTAAACTTTCCCCATCCAACAATATTGTGAGGTGATAAAATAAGCTCAAGAGGTGTTGGAGTTCACTCAACTCCAAAGCACAAACTCACAAGAACCAAAAGGGATATATATGATTAAACTACAATATCTAGCAAACTAAAGTTTAAGATGGAAGCTTTTTACTTGCAATGGTTCATAAATGAAGTCCCTTTGCTAGATTTACACTTGACTCTCCACTAAAACACTTTTCAAGAAACTTGATCTTCAAGATCCACAAAAACATGAGAAACGAGTCTTCAAATGGCCAGGAACACTAAGAACACTCAAATAGGCTAGAGTTTTCGAAATGGAGGCTGAAAATGATCCCCTGACTTGAAGCTAAGTTGCTTAAATACGGAGAAAACCCTAAAAGTCATGCGCATGGGCTACGACATCCACACCGTTGTGACACCCTTCATGTCGTGTCATGGTGACCATCCGAAATACGCATTATTCATTTAGTATGCCACGTATTGACACCCTTCACGTCACGTCGTGACACATGGTTTTACTAAAAAATCATGCCTTTGACTCCTTTATACCATCCAATGACCCATTATAGGAAATGGGTGTTACACCATCCCCTTAGGCCGGTGGTTGTACACATATTGCACCCTACAGTAGGGTTGAGGTGGCATGTGGTGGCCACGATAACGCTGCATCACTTCCCCATCCCTAAAACTCACTTACTTACTTTCTCTCACTGTTAAAGTTCACGACCATTCACCATACTCTCTCTCTCTCTCTCTCTCTCTCTCCCTCTCTCTCCCTCTCTCTCTCTCACACACACACACCCTCTTTAATGACTATATTTCAATTTTTCCTTAATCTATAAATAATAACTCACATAACTCATTCAAAAAAACCTTCATTTAATCTTTATAGTATTTCAATTATATGTTCTAAAATGGCTTTAAACGATTTCATATATAAGCTTGGTAAAATCAGCTTGTGTGTCGATTCCCATGTATTAGAAACATTGAAGGCATCCATCAGGATGAGGTTGTGTAGTGAAGTTTGCCCTCAAAAACCTCATAAAGATTTCCCCTCATAGATTAAACTTATTTAATGAATATAAAAAAATTCTAATAATTTCACCAGTGGTCATTAAAGGCATATTTGATAGAAATATGAGACCGAAGAGGGTTATTTGCCTATAGAGGAGAATTCAATGACATACCATGCAAAAAAATGTCACATGTACTGATAGACCACCAAAGTGAGATAAGCAAAGTCCATTTGCATGGATGACTCTCCAACAATGATAAGCACTCATAGGAAATTGAAGAGAGAACAACCCTATCAAGGGTACCATATTTGCTTCGCATGAACATAACATAAAGAAAATAGAGACCCCTTTAGTATAGAATTTCTCGCCTATGTGCAAGGCTTGCATCACATGATGTAACGATTGAATTCTAACAACCCCTTCATTCTTAAAACAACAAATGATCTCCCATGACACCCAATGATGTCAATATTATCCATTAGAGCTCTAAAAGACATTTTAAATGATACCACGCCCAAATACGAGACTATGTACGGATTTAAAAGGAAATTCATAGCGGTATTCGAAATGACATCTTACTTTTGACCTCTTCCCTCTTCATGGGCAACAGATGGACTATCAACTGAGAGTTTGAGACTTCCTTGAATGTCCATCCTTGTAGATTACATAGTGACAAGTGGGGACCACTCATTATCTTTTATGCAAATATTTAAATGCATTAGACCGATGGGTGTGGTACCACAACGCACCACACTTTTTTCCTATCACGTTAGTGCTACATCAATTTTTCATTATCCTCCATCAACAGGTCAACCCACAAAACTAATAGGAAATAGTACCAACCTAACACACTCTTTTTTCTTTATGATTTTATGCACAAAATACAAGCCACCTTTGCATAAGAACCAACCCATCGTGCGATAGATTTCCCTTAGGCGTAACACGCCAACCCATCACACCTCTAGTCAGTATCGTGTTCACTGTACTCACCGCAGTGACACATCACCCACCCAGTGTGTGTTGGGTCTCTATTTTGACCGGTCTTACCAACAAATATAATATTATTGCTTTATAATTTGAAAATATGATTATCAAAGAAAAAATAACAATATAATTTTGAAGTTACCAAGTAATTTCGGTACAAATTTGATGTGAAAATTATACAAACAAAAAGTCTATTCGTGCCATTTCGTGGTTAGGGCAAAAAATGCACACTTCACCCTGAACACACACTCGGCAGCTGCTGGGCCTTCTCACTATCGCCTATCCAGTTACGCACCTCTTCCCATTTCTCATTCGCCGTCGTCACTGCTCATCGTTGTCCGCCGTGTTACGCTCCTCACTCTTGCTTCGCGTTACATTAATTGTCGGTCGCATCCGCCTTCGTTGCTACTACAGTGAGTAATTATCACGCTTTTTTACTTTTATGATGAAATTTAGGGGTTCTAATTGAAATGTGTCTGTTTTTCTCCTTTTATTCAGAAAATTTTGATAGGGATCTCTTATACATTTGGCAGGCGAGTTGTTCATTTGTTTAGTTTACCGAAGTGATAAATGTAAATATGACAGTATGAAACATATAAGTAAACCCTGCAGTTGTGTGATCCGTTCATATTTTTGGAGTTTGGTTTTATGGCTTGAAACGAATCACTTTATAGCATACAATCATATTGGATTCATTTGATCATAAGAAAGGCTGCATTGAGAATATATACTGAGAGGGGATGTATAGGCTATAGGCTGTATACATCCCCTTGTTATTGTTATTTCCAAAAATAAAGGTTTTCCTGTACGTGGCTTAGCATATTGCCCCTTAATCACACACCAATTCTACCCCGATAACATTTGAGAGTAATCTTAAGTTTGCACTTACACTTCCAACATTGAGATCATTAAAATTCTGTTTACGTAAGTAACATTGCATGTGTTCTTAAATTTCAAGTTGCTGTATCATTGCATCATAATCATTCTTATCTATTTTGTTTATGACTTTATGTATTAGCTGCCAATTTCTGTACAGGTTTGATATTTATCTTCTTGTTACAATGGGAGATGGTGAAACAGTCATTTCTCAAACATCAACTGTCGAGGATTATTCATCTGCTTCTTATTCTGCATCTGATTACGGTGATAGAACTGGAAATGCTGCTGAAGCTACAGTTAGTGGAGAAGCAGCTGCATTTGTTGCTACTGATAACACATATATAGATAATACCACTTCTCATGTTAACAACCCAGATATTGCTGAAAAGTCAGAGGCTACAGATGTTGGTCAACAGGTTCCATCTACTGCCTCACAAGATGTTAGTGGGAATGGAGTTGGCTTATACAGTGTTCATACTTCTGCATCTACACAGCAATTGGTGGATGGTTCTGGTATATCTTCATGGCTTTTGCATTCTTTATTATTTTTAATTTTGGGTCTGACTTTTGAGATTAATGCAGCATTATCTCCTGAAGAAGACCGATTGTGGAACATGGTAAAAGCTAATTCACTGGACTTTAATGCTTGGACTGCACTAATAGAGGAGACAGAGAAAACATCAGAGGTAGGCAACTTTTTCAACATTCATTGTATCTACCTTCTTCTTCTTCTTCTTCTTCTTCTTCTTCTTCTTCATCTTCTTCTTCTTCTTCTTTTTTTCACTATATTGATTTAACACCACATTGACAGGCCAATGTGTTGAAGATCAGGAAAGTTTATGATGCATTTTTGGCTGAGTTTCCTCTGTGTTATGGCTACTGGAAGAAGTATGCTGATCATGAAGCAAGATTGGGGTCTATTGATAAAGTTGTGGAGGTTTATGAACGTGCAGTTCAAGGGGTAACATATTCTGTAGATATGTGGCTGCATTATTGTGTTTTCGCCATAAATACATATGAAGATCATGACACTATAAGGAGGTAACTACATTCTGCTTGTTAATCAATCAACTTCTATTGCTGTATACTTAGCTGTCTTAATTTCTTTAGGGTTTGAATTGTATTTTTGATGACCTCATATTTAGTTGTCCATGAGTTTTTGCTGTTTTAAACCATGACCCGTTGAGGTGCACCATTAAACAAATTGCTGCTGAGAAGATCTCGTCCAGTTAAGGGCTAAGATGGTCATTGTCACTGCCACCTTTCTCAGGCATTATATGATTTTTATTGGGGGGAAGGTAAATTCAGTGTTTTGTGTGTACATTTGGAAAGTGTCATGCTCATTTAATGGAGCTATTTTGCATACAGGGACATTATAGCTATTACTGCAGTCCATAATCTAATGTTAATATAACTAAATATTTTGTTTATGATGTGTTCTTTTCAGGCTATTTGAACGTGGTCTAGCTTATGTTGGAACTGATTACCTCTGTTTTTCTTTGTGGGATAAATACATTGAATATGAGTATCAACTACAGAAATGGTCGAATCTTGCCATGATTTACACACGGATATTGGAGATTCCTAATCAGCAGTTGGATCGGTATTTCAACAGGTGATGATTGATATATGTTTTTTCAACACAATCTAGTCAGACCACATCTTTTCATTCTACTTTTTTACTTTTGACAGCTTTAGGGAATTAGCTGCTAGTCGCCCTTTATCAGAACTGAGAACAACTGAAGAAGTTGAAGCTGCAGCAAGGGCAAAAGGGGAATTCAAGAATCAAGAAAGTGAGGGTGAGATCCATCCAGATGATGGATTAACAGAAGCTAAAGAGTTGGAGAAGTATATTTCCCTTAGAGAAGAGCTTTATAAAAAAACTAAAGATTTTGATTCTAAAATCATAGATTTTGAAACAGCCATCAGGAGACCTTATTATCATTTTAGGCCACTTAATGTTACAGAGCTTGAAAACTGGCATAACTACCTTGATTTCATTGAAGGATGTGATGACTTGAATAAAGTAATCAAAGTATATGAAAGATGTCTAATTGCTTGTGCAAATTATCACGAGTACTGGATACGTTATGTTTTGTGCATGGAAGCTAGAAAAGATATGGATCTTGCCGAAAATGCCCTTGCTCGTGCTACCCATGTGTTTGTTAAAGTAAGTTATATGCGTCCCAATTTCTGTTGGCATGTATTATGTAAACTTTACTTCTTTTAGTAAAAGTTGACCTTTTCTTTTACAGAAGCAACCAGAGATTCATCTTTTTGCTGCTAGATTTAGAGAACACAATGGAAACATTGAAGGAGCTCGGGCATCTTATCAACTTGTTCATAGTGAAATATCTCCTGGTCTTCTAGAAGCAATTATCAAGCATGCTAACATGGAATATCGCCTGGTAAAAATTAAATTCACTTTAGGGTTGTTTCTTTTGTCCCCATTAATTCTGTATGTGTAAAGCGACTTAATGCTGGCATGCTGCATATCTGGATAAAGTGCTGCATATATAAAGTCATTTTTTTTCCTGTACCGAATAAACCTCACAGAATGAAACTAAATGATCATATTACCCTTTACATTCCAACAAACAATTTTCATTGTATATTTCTGATCTTAATTGGTTGTTTCCTTGAATTGTTAGGGAAATCTGGAAGATGCTTGTTCATTGTATGAGCAGACTATTGCAATTGAGAAAGGGAAAGAGCATTCACAGATTCTGCCCTTTTTGTTTGCACAATATTCTCGATTTCTATACTTGGTATGTCTATATATATATATATATATATATATTATTCTTCACATGTACAGTTATGTTATGGTTTACGCTTAAGTAATATATAAACTGCTTTCAGGTTTTGGGAAGGGTAGAAAAGGCAAAAGAGGTTCTAGATGAAGCTGTTGAGAATACTGCCCACCTCTCAAAACCACTTTTAGAGGTCTCTTTTTCTCCATCTTGCCCTTTTCCATGCTTATGTTCCTTTTCTTGCTTTTTGTTCAAATCTATGATCTTTTATTATATGGTAATGCAGGCTTTAATCCATATCGAATCAATTCAATCACTTCCAAAGCGAATTGATCATATAGATTCACTCGTTGAAAAATTCATATCTCCCGAATCCGATAATCCAAATCCCGCAACTTACATCGAGAGAGAAGAGCTATCTAGCATTTTCTTGGAGGTGACTATTCCTAGGGTTAATATCATTAAACTATAAAAAAATGTGTAGTGTAGGATTGTTTTAATCTCTCATGTTTCGTTTTGCAGTTTGTAGATCTTTTCGGAGATGCGGGGTCCATGAAGAAAGCCGATGTTCGGCATTCTAAGCTCTTTTTATCTCATAAAAGCAGTTCACAGTCCAAAAAGCGCCACCTGGAGGGCAATTTAGTCTCGGATAGAGCGAAAATTACAAAAACAAGTGCGGTTTCATCAGTGAACCAATGGTCTGCAGCAGGTTATGGTGTGCAGCCTCAGTCTTGGCCACCTACACAACCTCAAGGCCAACAATGGCCTGCTGGATACACCCAACAGCAACAGGTATTATAAATTATAATTTAAATCTTTTTGGAACACAAAAAACCATCTTAAACCATCTTTATTTATTTTACTTGTAGGCTGGTTATGGCACCACATATAACGCCTATGGAAGTAGCTATGTGCAACCACAAGCTGCTTACACTTCATACCCGGTTCAGGTATTTTAAGTAGATGTTCAAACTTGAAGAAATGAGTTAAATATTGGAAATGTTGAGTTTATTAATTGTTATGGTTTCAGCAGGTGGTCCCACAAGAAGTTTACCCACAGCCAAGTGTAGCTGCTGCAGCCCCAGTCCCACCTGCAGCATATTACGGGACCTACTGAGCATTTTGGTTTGTTTTTGTTTTTGTTTTGTTAAGAGGGTTACATGTCATTGAGCATGGTCAACAAGTGTATCAGTAATATAGTTGAAAAGAGACCTATAAATAATTTGTTTTGTTAAAACTTTGGTAAAAAGGCTTCTTCTAGAATATTTTCTGCATCCATTTGGGTTGTGTGATTCTCAATTTGTAAAATATAAATTTTAGCTACAAAAACTTGCATACATACAAATTCTGCATATGCAGTTTTCCGTGACTTAACTACATATTTTTATAACTAGCCTAGATTTCTTGCCGCCCCATTGTAGAATCTTGGAACTTAAGCAGTTGCAGAAGCCATTGTTTCATTGTTGAAGATTGGTGACTTATTTTTACTATAATACCCTTCTTCATCTTCCTCTTCTTCGTCTTCTTCACCATCTATTTCCCATAAGAAACTTGCATAAGCTGCATGAACATAGCTGAAGAAAAGATGGGAATTAAATTTGAGATTCTTAGTTTGATGGTAACAAAAACACCATGGAAGTACTTACCTATCTTCAGAAGCTGCTTGGACTGCTCTTTCAAAGTAACATGTTGCTCTGTCTTTATCGTGATGAAGCTCCCATAGTAGCTTCGCATACTGTGAAAGAATTTCACCATCGTTAGGATCCACTAGGATAGCCCTACAGTAATATTCCTCTGCTCCTTCAAGATCTTTCTTCGACTACAAAGCCAATTCATCGGAACAATAAAAAACGTTATAATTCCCTTGTATTTACTATTTACAGTAAACCCTTTAAATTAAAGAAAAAAAACATACCTGATATAGATATTGAGCATAATTCCGTAGAAACAGAGGATTCCCCGGATTCTCATTCACCGTCTTCCTATAATGCTCCTCCACATCGTGGTTGTCACCACCACCACCGCCACCCCCTTGAGAAAGCTTCCGACCACCACCACCACCACCTGCAGCACCACTTCCAGTATGAGTATCAACTCCTAACCCTTTTGCAAGATACATTTGTGAACCAGTTTCCCGCATATAGTCGTCTTTTATCCCCAAATCCATTTGTTTATTCAAGTTCAAAACCTTGTTTTCTATATTAAAACCATGGAAGTCGTCGTCTTCCTCTTGTTCTTCGTGGCCACTGGATTCATCTTCATCGGACTTGAATCTTGAGTTGTGGTAAGAGAAAGATGGGATTGTCTCCAGTAAAGAACTGTGAAGCCTACTTACTTTTTTGGGTTGTTTGAAGAAACTGAATTCTTCATCATTGCCATTGCTGGAACTGGAACTCATCAAGCTTTCCAAGTTCCCTTCTGATTGTGCTCTCCGCATTCCGCCATTACTGAAGGAAGGTGAAGGTGAGATAGGAGAGGAGCTGCATGAAAGTGGGGTGAAATGTTGAGATCCAGGCGATGGAAATGAGAATTTGTGGATTGTGGAGGATTTGTGTGGGTGGAGGGCGGTGTCATGGTGGTTGTTGGGGCTCTCAGATGGTGGCAGGAGGGATCCAAGAAGTGGCGTTGAGGAGCTTCTCAGCATCATCTTTCTCTTCTTTTCACACTTGTTTTTGTTTATCCCAGGAAATCTGTGAACAAGAAAAAAAGGGGTCACAATTTATGAAAATTATATATATATATATATATATATATATATATATATAGATATATATATATATATATATATATATAATCTTGGACATGAGAAATAAATTATTACATGATTGGCGGTGTTGGAAATTGGAATAATTAAAGATTTTTTATTTTATTTTTACAAATAATAAATTTATCATAAGTTATAAAAATTGTATTATTAGAATAATTATCTTAATTTTAATTTAGTGACTAAAAAAAATTAAAAAATTCAAACGAATAGGTCGAAGCTGCCTCCCTTTACTTTGAGATTTCTAGGCCAAGGCCAACAACATAACCAAACAAAGAATCAATTAAAACTCAAACACGATTTCCACAAACAATATTGAAACATTTTAAAATAGGGATGAAAGTGGGTTCAAACCCGGACCGGATGGACCCGGACCCGGAAAACCCGGAACTGGTTAACGGGATTTTGTAAAACCGGAAACCGGACCGGTATATAGGAACCGGTTCTGGTTCGGTTCCGGGTATGGTTCCAGGTAAAGTGGGTCTAGAACCGAAAAACCCAGAAACATCAAAGTGGGTAGGTTGGAACCGGATAAAGTGAGTTTAGATCCGAAAAACCCAGAAAAACCATAATTTTTTGGTAATTACTTACTATTTAGTGGGTTGAGCTTTGAAAATTTTCATATTGATATCCCGAATTTGGGGGACTGTAACTCATTGAATGTGAAACCAAAATTAACAAAATTATCATCTAAAATCATGTACAAACTTTAAAATACATTCTGGAAAAACCACATGTCGATCCAACTTTAAATGAATGAGATATGGACGTGTTAACATTTTCACATAATACAAATTACAAAAACAAATAGCTGAAAAATTGAAAAATTTTCAGTTTTGATATCCCGACTTCAGAGAACTGTAAATCATTGAATGTTAAATGAAAAATGACAAAATTAATGTACAAACTGTAAACTACAAGTTGGAAAAAATCACATGTCAATCCGAATTCAAACGAATTAGATATGCATGTTTTAAAACTTTCACCGAATACAAAAAAGCTGAAAAACTAAAAACTTTCAACTTTGATATCTCAACTTTAGGGGATTGTAAGTTAATGAATATAAAACTAAAAATGACCAATTTATGGTCTAAAGTCATGTACAAATTCTAAACTACATGTTGGAAGTAATCGCATGTTAATCGGAGTTGAAACGAATGAGATATGCATCTTTTAAATGTCACAAAAACCGGTTCCGGTCATAAAAGTGGTTCCGGTTTTTAGACCCGATTTACCTGGACCCAATGGATCCAAACCCGAATTACCCGAAAACCCGGATAAAGCTAATTTTTAAACCCGGAACCGGAACCAATTCTATATATTTCGGTTCTAACGGTTCCGGTTCCGGTCCGGTTTTTCGGTTCTAAATCTCATCCCTATTTTTAAATTAATTTTATATAAAATATGGACACACAAATGACAAATGGGAAAAAAAATCATACCATTCTCTTTGAAGGGTCTTCTTATGTATTAAACCAAAAGCTTTTACCCTATGCCTGATTTTTATAAAATGTCAATAAAATAATTTATAAAAAGTTTAACAACTTTTAACGGTTAACCAAATATATGACTGTTTTATTGAAACGGGAGAAATACAATATAATGGTTATTACAATGTCATATAAATGAGTAATCAAATACTTCTCCCATCCAATGGTCGAGTTAGAAATTTTTAAATAGGGTACAAACATTATCAATAAATATTATATGTAGTTATCATATTTGGGGAATTAAAAAACATGATACAATATGTTTAATTGGGGGTACAATAACATAAAACATGCTTACAAACAATATTTTTAATATACATAATTTTTTTTGGGGATGCTTTAGTATCCCAACGCTCCATCTGGCTCCGCCATTGCTCCCATCCTATCTTTTGTTTGTATCCCGTTACCTATCATCTTAATCACCATATCAAACAAATGTTCAAATCAAAAGAAGAAATAAGAAAAAGAATTAATGGATTCATATGTGATTTCTTTTTGTATGGTGGAAATGGCTCTGTAAGGTCATAAAAAAAATCCTATAAATATCTTTTTAGTTGGTGAAATGTACATTTTTTTCGTACACAAAAATAAATTATTTGGTCCAAAACACATATGTTGAATATCAATGATATCAAGCTGGAAACACGCAAAGGCTTATTAGGCTGAATTCATTGCCACCCAATTTCGGATTTTTCTTAAGGCATTAGATCGTTGGTATGATAATTTGAAAACGAAATAAACGTTTAGTTTTTAAAATTATATAATATTATTTGGTATTTCATTTTATGTGCATCTTTTTAGCAAAAAGTGATTTAGAAATTGATAAAAATATAGTAAGTTGTGCGAGAAAGATTTATTGATCGTTATCAAAAGATATAACATTTCTATACATACAAAAGAGTCCATGGTCACTCCATGCTAAATTTATAATACATCAAATTATTATTATTAAAATCTATTAAATATAAATTTGAATTCAAAATTGAGATAAACCTATTTTATTTTCTATGGTTATGATATATGATTATCGTAACACCTTCTGAAAAGACCTCAAAAACTTTAACATTGCCTCTTAAAAATTATTCATACCCATGTCATTTTAGATTAAGGTCTAAAATTTTCTAAATCAAGATTTTAAGCGTTGTGTTAGATATAGGTACTAATATGAAAGATCAACTTTTCTTTCATATTTTTTCAAGTTTTATAAATAATTTATACATTAAATATAATTTACAATTTTATATTGTAGAATATGAATAACACGATAAAAAATTTATATCATTTTAATGCAATTGTAACTCCATCTATTATTCTATTTTAACTCATATGTCTTTATCAGAAAAAGTGATTAATTTGGTGTGCAAAACATAAAATTAACAAAATTAATTCCAAATAAACAACCATAAAACACCTACTGCCCACGGTTAATGAATTGGTGGTTGGGCCCTACTAAGTCACAGGTTTGGATCTTTTATAAATGAGTTGGGCCCCACTTACCTGTGACATGTCCTCCTTGTCGCCGTACACGTGGTGTCATAAATATCGCCGATGATATGCAGCACATGGTAGGTTGTTGACGCCGATGGTATACAAAGTCTCACTTGCCTTATATATAAACGAGTAAATCACACAAATATATATATATATATATATATATATATATATATATATATATATATATATATATATATATATATATATATATACGAGATATTAATAAAACTAATAATTTTCAAAGTAAAACAAAAAAAAACTTATTTTTTTTATTTTTATTTTTATTTATTTATTTATTTATTTGTAGAAAAATGACCAATCAGCAATCAGTTTGTTGAGAAAATATTTTTAATATGACAACTTAATTCGAACATGTTGTTGGATCGTTAAGATGGTGTTATTATGATGACAAAATTATTAAAATAACACAAACATATATACAAAAAATCAACGATCACTGATGCTCTAAACACCGTCTAAAATATATTCATTAAGAGTATGACTGTAAAATACAGAAGTCATCAAAGCAAGAGTATGTATATGTATATCTTAGACATGAAAAAAGAAGTTAAACCTAGCACTGAGTATTTAATAATTTTATTAACCTGAGTTATTAGGAGAAAATAAACAAAGTCAAAAAAGTGTCAGAAGTGGGATTTGAACCCACGCCCTCTCTCGAAGACCAGAACTTGAGTCTGGCGCCTTAGACCACTCGGCCATCCTGACTTTGTGTGTTACTTCCTACAATCTTAGAATAACTACACACTGATACTTATGACATTTATCATTTTTAATTCAAGGAAAAAAAGACTATATGGTTTATGCATATAGATGCTTGGAGTTTTTATTTCTAAAACAAATTAAATTTCGAAGTACAACACAAGACAATGTTAGATGATCGGAATACAATATAAAAGTTGATAAATTAAATTTGGGAATTTGACTTACTAAGGTAATTAAGTATTTCAAATGTTCACATATGGGTAATATTGTTTTTTTTTGTACTCATTTACCCAACAAACTTGTTTCGGCCGTTCAATAATAACCAACATTATCGGCTATTACCTGTTTTAGCCGGTAACATTGATTTAGCTCGGTTTAAAACATTACGTGGAATCTTACGTGGCCATTACACCCCTTTCTCATTTAATTAGGGTTCGTCATCGTCAGCTAACACACCTCGATTACCTTCTTCTGTGAGAAATCAATCGATACATCAAATCGACGATTAGGTCTTGGAATTGAAGTTGGAATTGAAGTCGACTACTAGCATGGCATCCTCATCTACAGGTATGTATGTATCTGTAGATTTTCATTACAATGGATTCTTTTCGCCAAACCCATTGGTGTACTTAGACCCCGTAAAAACAAATGTACGTGATGTGGATTTTGGGGGATTTACGTATAAAGAGTTTCTTTTGTGGCTTACGAAATTAACAAATGGAGAATGTGATAATGTCTACTACTGCATGAGAAAGGAAAGCTTGTGTGAGGGTATTAGAAGAATCGACAGTGATGCTGATTATTGGGAGTTTGTGGAGACTGTTTATAGTCTGGAGAGTGATAGTCTTGAGAGTGAGTTAGATGTGTACATTGACCACCGAAATGAACCAATTCTTGATTGGGCTGATAACGAGTTCTTAGAAGATGGTAAAGGGTATGAGTTGGATGAGTTGGATGAAGAGGATGACAAGGATTCTGAAGTTTCAATGAAAATGGAATATGAACATGAATGGGATGATGAAGATGAACATACTTTTGATAAAACTGTTAGAGACCCATTCTTGGACAAACTTTCAGGGCATATTAGTGATGATGATGAAGAGGAAGCAAACAATGGGAAACTTAAGGATGTTGTGTTCCCTGTCCATAATGAGAATCAAGAATGGGAGCAAATGGTGCCAGTTTTGGGTATGAAGTTTTCTAATCCATTGGAATTGAAGTTGTGTATCACCAACTATGCAGTCAAAAATGGATATGATTTATGGTATGAGAAAAGTGATCATGAAAGGTTATTGGTAAAATGTTGTAAAGGTAAGACAAATAAACAGGGTAAAGGTTGTCCTTTTAGATTATGGGCAACCTGGATGAGCAGTGAAAAATCATTCCAGATTAAATCTCTGAATGATATGCATAATTGTGCAAGAGTGTTCAAATTTGGGTCCATTGTTACCTATAAATGGATAGCAAAGCATTTCATGAATCATATACTTCAGAAACCAAAGATGAGTATAAGGAAGTTGAAAGCTAAGGTCAGCAAGAAATTTAATTTGATTGCAAGTGTTGGTCAATGCAGAAATGCAAGGAAGTATGCATTTCAGGAGATAGAGGGTACTTTGAAAGAGCATTATGCAAAAACATGGAGCTATGGAGAAGAGATAAGAAGGACTAACCCTGGATCAACAGTGAAGATGGATGTAGATGTCATGCCTGATGGAACCACATATTTCTCAAAGTTTTATGTATGTTTCAAGGGATTGAAGGATGGATGGATTGAAGGTTGTAGGAGGGTAATTGGACTAGATGGTTGCTTCCTAAAGGGCATATGCAGAGGTCAGTTGCTCTCTGCTATAGGTAGAGATGCAAATAACCATATATATCCCATTGCTTGGGCTGTTGTATCAGTGGAAAGTAAAGAAACATGGAAGTGGTTTATTAACCTTCTAATTGAGGACCTTGGAATGGGAGTTGGGCATGGACTAACCTTGATATCAGACCAACACAAAGTAATCAATTTTTATTATTTTCATCTTTATTTTAGCTTATGTTATGTTTTTGTTGTTTAAATTTTGTGTCTATTGCTAACAGGGATTACTTGAGGCTGTGAAGGAAAGGGTCCCAGCAGCAGAGCATAGGCAATGTGCTAGGCACATATGTGCTAACTTCCTGAAAAGGTTTAAGGGCCAAGTGTTTAGAAAGCTTTTCTGGTATGCTGCTGCAGCTACTACCCCTGCAAAATTTGAACAACACATGAATGAAATCAAGAAATTAGAGCCACTAGCTTATGACCATTTGATGGAAAGGGACCCTAAAACTTGGAGTAAAGCATTTTTTCAGACTGATAGGGCTTGTGATGCATATGAAAATGGTATATCTGAGAGTTTCAACTCTGTGATTGAAGTTGCTAGGAAGAGACCACTAATCACCATGTTAGAAGAAATTCGAATTTATGTGATGGAGAGGCTTTATAGACAAAAGATTAAGGGGCAATCTTGGGATTTAACCATATGTCCTACCATTAGGCTGAAGTTGTCCAAGCTTAAGGATCTTCAAAGGTAAGTGCTTAAAACTGTTTGTCCTTATATATGTTTGTCTTTAAACATGTGTATATGGACAGGTTTTGGAAAGTAATACCATCTGGTTATCAACAGTATGAAGTCAGACTTGGGTATGATGCATATGTTGTGGATATTGGTAGTAGGACATGTGCCTGCAGAACTTGGCAGTTAACAGGTTACCCTTGTGTGCATGGGTATGCTTGCATTGCAAGCCTCAACAGGGATGTACAGGAGTATGTGTCACCATGGTTTACCACATCAATGTACCTAAACTGTTACAGGAATACCATTAACCCACTAAATGGTAGTGACATGTGGCCTCATGTAGACTACATCAGCCCATTGCCCCCCAAAAGGAGAAGGCTACCAGGAAGACCATCAACAAAAAGGAAAAGGGATCAGATTGAGAGGGAAAACCAAGGAAAAAAGCATTCAATCACAAAAAGAGGTAGTGTGATGAAATGCAGCATATGTAGGGAAAGTGGGCATAATAGAACAACTGTCCTCAAAAACCAATTGGGGAATCATCAAATGCAAGTTCAAAGAAAAAGAAATCCAAGAAAGCTGGTATGTTTGATATATTTATTTGTATATAACTTGTATAACTTAACATATTGGGCATAACTTAACTTTTCAAGTAATACAAAACAGATAAAGTGAAGGTTGTATTGGCACATGAAGTTGATATTGACAGTGACAGTGAAGTTGAAATAGAACCTGAAAGTGATGTTGACTCTTTTGATCTTGAATTTGAAGATGATGTGCAACCTGAAGTTGAAGATGGAGTAGAACCTGAAGTCCAAGATGGAGTGCAACATGAAGTTCAAGATGAAGTGCAAGCTGAAGTTGAACCTGAAAATCATCCTGAAGTTCATGATGCTAACCAAGTTGAAGTTCACCTTGCAGTTCAAGCTGAAGTTGAACCTGAAGTGCAAGTTCAAGTTGAAGATGCTAACCAAATTGTAGTTCAAGATCAAGTGGAAATACCAGCTTTTCAAGTTGTAGTGGGAAAGAGGGCAAGGAAACCTTCAGAAAGAATTACAAAACTGAAGATAAGAAAGATGTGGGAGGGAAAACAGGGCAGTAGTGATGACAATCCGTATGAGTTGGATTAACTTTTGGCTTATTGTACTGTTGTTAATGTTTTTGGCATCTTTGACTGACATCTTTTAACTTTGGAATCTTTTGGCACATCTTTTGAAAACTAGTTGGAATAGCTTAACTTTTTGCACATCTTTTGGGTGTAATGAATGTTTAACTATGTTATGTAAAACTTTGGACACATCTTTTGAAGTCAATGTTCCCTGGAATGTCTATAATATATTACCATCTTTTGCACATTTTCTAATACCATTAGTATTATTTATAATTTATTACCAACTTTTAGAATATCAACTGTAATCATAATTCCTTTACAGTGTAATCATAATTCCATTACATTGTTTGAACAATTCAATTCCAATGATTCACAATAACATTACAAGTTTTGTACACTACCATTCCAATGTTTCAATTACCATCTTTTGCACATCTTTCTAATACCATTTGTATTATTTATAATTTATTACCATCTTTTAGAATATCAACTGTAATCACAGTTCCTTTACAATGTAATCACAATTCCATTACATTGTTTGAACAATTCAATTCCAGTGATTAACAATAACATTACAAGTTTTGTACACTACCATTCCAATGATTCAATTCCATAACAATGTTTATTATTATCTTTTATACTACCAAGTTTAATACCCATTCCATTACAATGTACTATTCCATTCCAATGATAGAATATAACCTTTTTCATTGAAAACATCACAAAAGCATACATAATTTAGTCATACTACATCATAATACATAATTTAAAAAAACATTTTGACATACAAGAGAAACAAGAAAATTAATGCAAGTCTATGGGTAAACAATTTCTAGTTGACTTTGTCAAGTTCTTGTTTATTCCTGTTCTTCTCTTCTTCAATCTTCATCCTACATATGCTGATTTCATTCTCCAAGGTACAAATTTTCAAGGTAAGATTGCAGCTTTCTTCTGCTTTCATCCTGTAATGCCCTCTTCCATCTTTCCTCCCTTCATCCTCATCCAACCATTGCCAAAATTTACAGCTTGGACTTTTTCCATTCTTTAAGAAATTTATAAGAACATGTTAAATTGAAGGATGAAGAAGAAGTAAAAAATATGAATTACCAGTGAGTTTTGACAAACTCTGAATTTCCTTCCAGGATTGTCTGGGGTTCTTGATGTCTTCACACGAGATGGCAAATCGCAATCAAATGGATGATCCGGTTGTAATTCGTCTTGTCGTTTGGAAGAAAAGGATGAGGAAGAAGATGCCATCGATCGATCTAGGGTTTTAATTAATAAGCTGTCGTATCTCACCCTCTTATAATGTAAGCACTTCTCAATGCCACGTAGGTGATGAGTATTGTAGCGTACAAGCCACGTAGATGCCACATCACCCAAAACTTACAATAGCCGGTAATGTTGGTTATTATTGAACGGCTGAAACAAGTTTATTGGGTAAATGAGTACAAAAAAAACAATATTACCCATATGTGAACATTTGAAATACTTAATTACCTTAGTAAGTCAAATTCCCATTAAATTTCAACGTATATAAACAATTTTGTTGCTTAGTATTAATCTGCTTAACCCATAGTATATATTTATCTAATTAGTCATCATGTTTTTATTCATCTTTTCAAATCTCTTGTAAATAAGTTCACAAAATAAGTAGGTCTGATAAGGCATCATATTTTTATCCAACAATTATCACATAATCCGGCTTACAAAACCATAACCCAAACCTACTCTTGTATTTTTTTTTTCATCATTTGCAACCATGAACTCAATATCATCCAAAATTGATTCTTACATGAAAACTAATAATAATAATAATCAAGAACCTAGTTTATCACCAACATCAAAATTATCTAGAAGCTAAATAAGGTACTCAATAATGAAATCTTTATCGAATTTTCATAATGTCTATTCATCACCTTCAAGTTTTCCTTCTCTTCTTCCTTTCGGGTGCTTCCAAATTACCAATTTCTCCTCCATCAACCTCTGCATTCTTCCTCTTCTTTTCCTTTTCTTTCTTTCTCAATTTACCCTCATCTTCTTCTACATCCCTATGGCTTATATCAGATATGGTTGAGGTTTCATCCTTTGGTTTTTTCTTCAGCGTGTGGTGCTTTTTAAAGTATACAAGCTCGTTAAATGCCACAGAAGCACGACGGAGGTAAGCAGACACCGGTTGTGAAGCTCCATTCTCGGAGGTTACAAATTTTGACAAGATATTCGCAGCTTTGGAGAGATTAACAGGCTTCAAAGATACAATTTTCCCAGAAACCGTCTTCATCTGAATCAAAGAAACTCACATATATGAAAACGAATAGTATTTCCCTCATATTAGCAACAAAGGAAATTGTGAAATACATGGCTAACTGATAATTGGAATAATTACGACAAACACACGAGAACATAACCTAGAACGGTCAACAAAACCCTAATTTCACAAAAAGCAATTAAATAGGTTGAGAAACTGATACGAATAACAGAACAAACAAACCTTTTATCGATAACAATGAACAACCTGAAATTTGAGAGAAGCGAAGAAGATTGACTTCGTTCTAGTTAGCTTCCCTCAGCTTCAGCTTTGAGCGGCGGTTTAAAACATCGACCCGGATCATCCGATTTTTCTTATTTGAGAATTGAGCCCATTTCAATCGTTAGCAGACGAAACGGATCTGATATTTAAGTTTAAGAGACTAGCTTCTCTGTTGGGCTTCGTTACGGGATATTGTCACAAAAACTTTAAGTTTGTACATTTTAATGTCCAGCTCGATACTTGGTAAGCTTCTTTATATTTTATCAGGTTAAATGGTACGTAGTTGGTTACCAATGCTTTTTATCAGGCTAAATGGTACCTAGTTGGTTACCAATGCCACGTTGGAGGTTCTTGTGGATGTTAAAACCGTAGAGACAAAATGAGATGTTGCACATGACTCATTATATATATATATATATATATATATATATATATATATATATATATATATATATATATATTAAGCATATTGAACATTTCTTGAAAAATTAAGAGGTACAATCTTTATAACAACAAATACCATAATCTAATGCAAATACCACTAATTTTTATTTTAAGAAAAATTTAAGAGGTACAATCTTTACAACAACAAATATCATAATCTAATGCAAATACCACTAATTTTTATTTTAAGAAAATCAAACTATTAATTCTTACCAAATACAACTGACAACAAGAATGAATTGAGGACATGATTATGGAAATCAATTCTGAAAAATAAATATTAAGCTTGGCATATAGCTCAACTAGACATAAATACACCACGAATTAGTCCTTACTAAAAATCTGATCTCACCTAAATTTTGTCTTGTGCGCTTTTCACTTCTCTGCTTTAGAAACCCTAATCTCAAACATCATCAAGCAGCACTCCGCTCTATTTCTTCCTCTTTGCATCGATGTATCTATTTCTTTCAACATTAAATCAGACTTGATTCAACACCACTCACAACCTCCAGACTACTAATCACCGCTATCGAACACCTTTTACCACCAACACACCATCAAATAAAGACTGCAACTTCACCACTTTCACCCTTCATTTCTCTCTAAAATACCCCAAACCAACGTTGGCTTCATCACTAGCTGCTTGAAATAGGTGCCGCCCTCTGTGTCTCTTTCATTTGTTATCGTTGCTCCTCTCAAATGATGGCCAAAAGCATTCTATATAAAAAAGCACTAACACAAACATTCTTCCACTATCAACAATTCACTTATGAAGAATTCCAGTCATAAGTAATTTTTTCCGAGGACCTCTACAAGATCCTATTTTCTTTTAACCAATTCAAGGTAACTTCTTGATACTCGATGCTTCTCACTTTCTCACATCCAATCTTTCTTACCGATCAAAATACTCAATCTCATGATTTGAGATGTCTCTGTTCTAAAACCTAATGCTGAATTATTATAGATATGTGTCTTTTATTTCCATTTGTATCCAGACCACCACAAGTAACCCTCCTCACGGCTGTCATATCTCCCCACCAACTTACGCTCCCACTTTCAAAATCCATCGACGATCTTGAGAGTTGCTGCCCTTTTCCATTTGGTGGTGTTTTGTGTCATGTGTGCGTGTGTAATGTTTTCTGCTATTTGATGTTGCCTCCCTCACAAAATCTCAATAGCCATCTTCACTAATTGTAAAGAAGGTTTATTCGTACACAATCTTTCTATATCTATGTGTATGGATCCAAATTTGAACAACACATGTTTTTCTGTGGTGTTGATATATATTTGATTTTGTTTTCATTTATGTGGTGTTGTTATAATTTTGAATATGAGTATGCAGAAAAAATGAAATCAACTGGAAAGATAGAGTAAGAAGTTGGTGTTTTTTTTTTCTATGGTAAGTTTCCTATAAATGTTTTGAAATGTTTTTGGAGGTGTTTTAATTTCGCTAACATTTGTTTTCATTTTATGAAGATGATGTTTGCTAGAAAACTACACACTTCCTACTTTGAACATGCTTTTGCTTCCAACAGTGAACATTTTCCATATGATAAGATGCCAACATTTTCTGCCAACCAACACCTAACACATCATAATTCCCCCAAATTCCAATTCATTTTACAAATTTCATCACTTACTAACTCATTAATTGGCTTGAAGGTTCATATTGGTATAACTTTGTGGGTGAGAAGGGGATAATCAACTTGAATGGCCAGTACATCCTCAAGTGTTCTTTCTATATCTCTAAATATAGAGAAAAAGAACTCTGTGATTTATTTATATGTAATAACCTTGCTTATAACCAATATAGTTTTTATGCGTTTTTATATTAAAAAAATAATTTTTAACCTATCCTTTTGGCAGGAGGCAAGCTGTGGATTACCTTAAATTTCATACGAGATAGGTATGTTAAATTTTAGTTATTAAATTTATACTTGTTCCATGCTATTAATCATTTTGGTTCACGAAGGGTAATATAAAAAGATTTATTTCTAGAAACTTAATTTGTCATAAATTTCATTTTGAAGTTTGGAATCAAAAATAGAAAAATTCAAAGTCAATTTAATTGTATCTTAGTTTTCTGAAAATAAATCTTTTAATATCATCCTGAGTATATGTGATATTTTCAAGTTCTGGTCCAAAATATTACATCTTTCCATTTTAGTCCT